TTTTCTGCTAAAAAACTAAATTGTTGACGACTTGATTCAACGTGTTCTATTTAAAGACGTACCCATCGGAAACCGCTCAATTTAAAGATTCCGTTATTTTTTTATTAAAAAGGACGAAAATAATGAACTTACTCTATGGGCGGAAGCTCCTATCTTTGACCGTTTTAGAATCATTCAAATTTGAACATAATAAAATACACATCTTTTTTGTTCAAAATCGCTTGAATCGTAAACATCTCAAAAACAATAAAAGATAGAACAATGGTTATCGCTTTAATCGTATTTGCTGTTTAACGTTCTATCAAAGTAAAACACCGTGATCTCATATTTTGAAGGGTTTCTAAATGATACAAGGCACAAACATGTTTATGGCGCAATTCAAATCCAGATTTGGGGGCTTTAAAATAAAATATCTCGGATTTTAGAGTGTTCCTGTTGTCTGTGTCCTAAAAGCTCCTTATGTACCAAATTTCAGCTTTCTACCTTTTCAGGAAATACCCTAGAGGTATTTGAGACATACAGATTAAGGTATGTATTTATATAGATAGCTGTAGATGATAAATGTTGTTTTCTATTGTCTGTGTATTTATGTATTACTGTACTTAACTTACATTGTTTTAACCATAAAAATCATAGTACACGTGTAGTACTGAAACTTCCTATATGGATTATTAGAATGTCGAGTTATTTTTGTAACTACTTTGTTATAAGGGAAGCATATAAAAACATTCGTAAATTCACTTATGGATTTAAATCTTAGCTTAAAGTTGGTATGGTACAGCTTATTTGTCGCAGTCAAAATCAAACCATTATTTATCGTTATATTTTTTGTCATATAATAAAGCGCTGCAAATATCAGTTTGTTTGCTATCCTGACAAATACCTCAACTTGGCTTGTTCTGAATTTTAATTAGGATAGAATAGTCGTGGAGATGTCATGGAGTAAAATATAGTTATAAATCATTTATGTGATTAGAGAATAGACACTGTGAGGTGAGCGGAGCTGTAGACAAGAGGTGAAGATGACCTCAAGAGAAAATGTAGATAATGTCGAGAATGTTTTGAGAAATGCGGGTAGAGGGTATCTCCAGAAGAATGCAACCGACTATTTACGAATACAATTACCCAAGAATGTCGGTGTGTAACGCGCGTGACGTCACTCCACGTCAACCAGCCCCCCTCATTAATAATCATGAACAGGTAACGTCCTCCAAATGGCAATCCCCCAACCATTAATAATAATTAACGGGTGACGTCACTCCACATGGGGGGGGGGGGGCGAGGCGCCTCCTCCCCCCTCCTCGGCGTCAACTCACAACCCTCACGACAAAGGCAGAACCCTCACTACAAAGGCAGAACCCTCACGTCGCGCAATCTTCGTCACACTATTGAGACATCAAAGTAAAAAGGACGTCATGATGAACAAGGGATTATAACCAAAAAATGTGTCACCGCGCACTTACAAATTGCACACGCATTGATGCAATTAATAACACGTCGCGGTCTGCTTTTCGCTTTCAGGTTTCAGATTTACTGCAATACACCCGCCCTTGGACGATATAGGGTAGTTAGCATTAATAGCACATTGTCACCGAAACCGAAAATACAATATAACAACAATCTATTTGAAAATAACTACACATTTGGACAATCAGCATTACAGTGTTGTACAATGTAATAACTTACATATAAACAAAGCAACAATGATGAATATCAATTCCTCAGACAGGAGAATTAATCATCACATTAGCAGCAATTGATATTTTTAAACGGCCATTCAGACATTACTGGCCAGTGAATCCCAGTACGCGATAATGCACAACACGTAGCAGCTATAGAACCTGTAACAACGAATAGTGATTATACTTGTAGCATTAATTTATCGGTTGCGTTCATGGTGGTAAAATGTACAAAGTTACATTATTTAAATGTTTCCAAAACACAGGTCGTGTACGCAAAAAAAGATTGCTCTATAGAGTATACGAAAATGGCCCAATGATCGAGTGCCTTAGAGACATGTAGGATATGTATTTATTGATAGATGTCAGCGAGATGACAAATGCATCTTCCGACTGATATGACGTGTAAAACTGGGCCAATACCTCATTCTAATCGAACACTCAAAAATTCACTGATGCCCATCACATTACGCGGGCACTCACGTTTACGTGGCCTAGTGATCATGAATGGTTGAGTTGTGTTAGTGGGGTTTTATGGAGCATGAAGTAGATTAATTGGAGGAAGGGCGGGAAATATATGGATACATGTTTAGCCTTGGGGACACAGGAGAAGATGTAATATAACGACTGACGGGGGGAACCCGGTTCGGGGATCTCGCTCATAGGATGGTCGCGAAGAGCTCGGCCCTAATCGCGGAAAGGAAAGGGTGCGTACTGACGAGTATTGGGGGAGAAGAGCGAGTTAGGGTAGCAGAGGAGATATGTCTTCCTGGTATAATAATCATCATTTCGACTTGTGATGCGCACGGTATTCGCTCACTTTCATAGAGAGAGATCGAATCAAGAGGCGCGAGGAACCGCAGGCACGCTAGAAGGCAGCCACATGGTGATCTGACACGAAAATTAGCTCAAGCTCTGCGGTCATCCATATATGAAAGCGTTATTGGCCAATTCATGAGTGTTTACATGTGGGAGCAAACTAGAGCACGCGGATAAACCCATGCGTGCGTGTGGGAAGCACTCTTATTCCATACAGACAACAGGTGGAGTCCATATGTTGGCTGTACTGCTTGATCCTGGCGAGCCAGGGTATTCCGCCTTGATGCCCACGGCGAAGGGCGTTTCACACACATGTTTGAGATCCCCCAAATCTCGCTTCCACTCCTCCTTGATGCCCACGGCTAAGGGCGTTTCACACACATGTTTGAGATCCCCCAAATCTCGCTTCCACTCCTCCTTGATGCCCACGGCTACGGGCGTTTCACAAACGTTGTTTGAGATGACCCAACCCTCGCCTCCACTGCTCCTTGATTATCTATTTATTTAAACACTGTGTCAGTGTGAAAAAAACTTATTTGCTTTTTTTAGAATTTATATTCCAGTAGTTTTCCCCCTAATCTGGGAATTAGTTCATTGATTAATGGAATCTCGTGTCGAATTCCTGCCGTAATTGGTGGCATATCGCACCGGCGCACCATTTCCACAGGACTAGTCATCGTGGTGCACCCCAGATTATGAGATCCGCGAAATGGTCCCTCCCATATCACCGAGGATTACTGGGATTTTGATGTACGATCTATTCTGCTGTACTACGTATGACCGCTCATTAATTGGCTGAAAACGTATTCATTTAGAGAAAACCGCAGAGCCTGGACAATTGTTGGTGCAGACTCACTGCTTGGCTGCCTTTCAGATTGTCTGTGGTTTCTCGACAATCGCAAGATGTAATTTACGTGAACCACACGAGATACAATTAACCAATCAATAGTATTATTACAGTTAGGTGATGAAGGACTCATGGCGCTTGGCCGGCCTCTTGGAATCACCATTATAACAGATTATGGATTTTTACGTACTACGTTTCAATGGAGGTATCGGTTGATATCGAAGCAATGATAGGTCAGGAAAGATGTCTCAGTAAACTCACCAAAAAGTGCATATCTCGATCCTTTATTTTCCAGCATTTCTCCCATTGTATTTACCAGAATCCATGCTTCAACATTTGTGTCACATCGTTTTGGATCAAAGCACCTAGTGCGGACCACTGCTCCCCACCCCAACTCAACAGTGCTGTACTATGCAATGATGACAACACACTTTGGTGTGTCCTCATACACTGATGGATGAAGGGCATTGTGCAGGGGTCGGAAATCTGTGGCTCCGGAGACGCATGATGCTCTTTAAGGACTGCTTCTTGACCTTATTTATTAAGGGCCACCATCTCGTATTCAGATGCATTGCGGTTCCTGAAATATTGTGAGTTTTTTTACGCATTCGAAAAAAATGGCTGCTCTTGTTATTTTGGTTGCCGATCCCAGGTGATGGGAGTTACCTGACCATACTTGACCACACTGGTCAGTGCGGGTTGGTAAATGGGGGAGGGTGAAGACTGGTTTATATATCATCACTGATGTTAGCTATACAGCCATTTTGTCAATCCACTGCTGGATGAAGGCCTCCCCACTTCCTTCAACTGAGAATCCCCAAACTGTAGAACCTATCTGTGAACATACTCTTTGGTTATTTTGGTAACGTCACGTAGATAGAAAATTAATAGATCACGACGTTTCGATCGCAACACAAGCAACCGTCATCGGGTGAAACAAACAAAGCAGGAGAACTACTATCTGTGAACATTTTGTATTGATAAACCTATCAAAACCACCACACCTTTAAATACCTCTGAAAACATTAAAGGCAGGCTTTTTTTGTATTATCAGATCTCATTTATAAATCACAATGTGACAAAGCCGCCATTTATAAACATGCGGTTCCATTATTTAACAAAAGTAACATTGCATTTTTTTTTAACATGTATACCTGATTAAGTGCACTTAGTATCACATGCCTTGTTGAGTTTTTAGCACACTTAGCGGAGAGCTTTGAGCCGTTGCATAACACTCAACCTTCAGTTCCTGCTACTGCAGCGGTTTCAATAGAATAGCAACTTGACATATAAGACCGCTGCAATTGTAAACACAATCATGGTCAGTATGCCTCGCTCTGTTTACAAATACATCCACACAGCACACGACTTGTGTGTTGAGATCCTTGCAGCAGCAACAGCGACACAAACAAGCCCGTTCCACTCGAAACGCCCTTATTTTCACACGATAATAATAATCACGTGGAATGAACGGAATGTTAAATTATCACATTTTACACACGGTGCTAAAACAAAACAAAAAACCACCACCATATAATTCACGTCGTAAACACCAAACGCTATTATACTCTCCCTCGAGACGATCACCTATAGTTATTACACGCTGTGACTGTCAGGCCGGTGTGTGTGTGTGAGTGCGAGCGATTGCTGCTCACCCGAGTCGGATTTTGTTTTGGTCCACGCGCTTGCCCCAACTCACTCAATCGCAGTGCGCCGAGCGGCCGCGCGTTCAGAAAAATGTTCACATCCACAGCGTGACGTCACAACGCAATCACACCACCCCCATCCCGCATCGAGGTGAAGATTTCTTATTCTTGGTTCTTTCGGAAAAGTAACGTAGATAGAAAAAAATGTATAAAAAAAGTAAAAGAAAAAGTTATTACTTTTAAGTAATTATAAAATAAAGCAATTATTTTTCGGTAAAGTCACGTAGGTATAAAATAAAATAAATCACGACGTTTCGGGCACAATACAAGCAATCATCATCAGGTGGGAAGAAAACATGGTCTGCTGCTGAGGCAGACTTTTAAAATGTTTAAAATGGGTTGACGCTTATGTTGCGCCCGAAACGTCGTGATTTATTTTATTTTATACCTGACCCTTGGGCTACACCCATTTCAAACCTTTTAAAACAGTCTGCCTCAGCAGCAGGCCATGCATTCCCACCTGCTGATGGACGCTTTTGTTGCGCCAGAAACGTCGTGATTGATTTTATTTTATACTTATGTGACTTTACCGAAAAAAACAAATAGTATGGATTCATGCAGTCACGAAAGCTTCAAATCAATATCAACATTTTTATTTTATTTTATTTTTCTATCTACGTGACTTTACCGAAATAACCAAGATTATGAATTACTGCAGTCACGAAAGCTTTAAGTCAAGATGTAATGCTGTGAACGTTTTCTTTTTCAATTCTGAAGATAAAATGAAGCGAAATAGGTGCAGCATGCTGAAATAATCCCCTGAATGGCGTTCGTAACGATGATGCCTGAAAATAATCACTGCCAATTTGAGGACAGAATGAGATGGAAAAACTCCGCAAGGCCTGTCAGTCCAAAAAAAGCGTGGTGATGTGGATATGTGTCATGCTGCCTATTTAACATCCTGCAGCAACGTGTCCATAACGAGTGGGTGTGTTACCGCTTTGTGCTGACTTTCTTTTTTTTGCTCAACTTGCGCAATACAAAATGCATGCACAATAAGTGTTATTGGCAGAGTTGGCCTAATTTCTCCCATAAATTGAGTTTAATTAGCTAAAGTTTTTTTCGTCTTAAATGTGCCATGTCTATTATTTGTCAAATGATTGTTGGAGGAATATAACCTGTAATTCAGGATAAATTATGAAATCAAGAATAAATAATGAAAACAATCAAGGCAATGTGCCTGAAGAATAGCGTTTTAAATCGATACATGTTGCCAGCTATGACAAGAATCATCAATGTGGTGACAACCAAAACATTTAATGAGTGTTTACATGTGGGAGCAAACTAGAGCACGTGGATAAACCCATGCGTGCGTGTGGGAAGCACTCTTATTCCATACAGACAACAGGTGGAGTCCATATGTTGGCTGTACTGCTTGATACTGGTGAGCCAGGGACCCAGGGTATTCCTCCTTGATGCCCACGGCTAAGGGCGTTTCACAAACATTTTTTGAGAACCCCCAACCCTCGCTTCCTCTCCTCCTTGATGCCCACGGCTACGGGCGTTCCACAACATTTTTTGAGAACCCCCCAACCCTCGCCTCCATTCCTCCTTGATGCCCACGGCTAAGGGCGTTCCACAAACATTTTTTGAGAACCCCCCAACCCTCGCCTCCACTGCTCCTTGATTAATTATCTATTTATTTAAACACTGGGTCAGTGTGAAATGATGGTTTGCTTTTTTAGACTTTATATTCCAGTAGTTTCTCCCATAATCTGGGAATTTGTTAATTGATTAATGGAATCTCGTGTTTAATTCCTGCCGTAATAGGTGGCATATCGCACCGGCGCACCATTTCCACAAGACTAATCATCGTGGTGCACCCCAGATTATGAGATCCGCGATATGGTCCCTCCCATATCACCGAGGATTACTGGGATTTTGATGTACGATCTATTCTGCTGTACTACGTATGACCGCTCAATAGTTGGCTAAAAACGTATTCATTTAGAGAAAACCGCAGAGCCTGGACAATTGTTGGTGCAGACTCACTGCTTGGCTGCCTTTCAGCTTTTCTGTGGTTTCTCGACATTCGGAAGATGCAATTTACGTGAATCACACGAGATACAATTAACCAATCAATAGTATTATTACAGTTAGGTGATGAAGGACTCATGGCGCTTGGCCGGCCTCTTGGAATCACCATTATAACAGATTATGGATTTTTACGTACTACGTTTCAATGGAGGTATCGGTTGATTTCGAAGCAATGATAGGTCAGGAAATATGTCTCAGTAAACTCACAAAAAGTGCATCTCTCGATCCTTTATTTTCCAGCATTTCTCCCATTGTATTTACCAGAATCCATGCTTCAACATTTGTGTCACATCGTTTTGGATGAAAGCGCCTAGTGCGGACCACTGCTCCCCACGCCAACTCAACAGTGCTGTACTATGCAATGATGACAACACACTTGGTGTGTCCTCATACACTGATGGATGAAGGGCATTGTGCAGGGGTCGGAAATCTGTGGCTCCGGAGACGCATGATGCTCTTTAAGGACTGCTTCTTAACCTTATTTATTAAGGGCCACCATCTCGTATTCAGATGCATTGCGATTCCTGAAATATTGTGAGTTTTTTTACGCATTCGAAAAAAATGGCTGCTCTTGTTATTTTGGTTGCCGATCCCAGGTGATGGGAGTTACCTGACCATACTTGACCACACTGGTCAGTGCGGGTTGCTAAATGGGGGAGGGTGAAGACTGGTTTATATATCATCACTTATGTTAGCTATACAGCCATTTTGTCAATCCACTGCTCGATGAAGGCCTCCCCACTTCCTTCAACTGAGAATCCCCAAACTGTAGAACCTATCTGTGAACATACTCTTTGGTTATTTTGGTAACGTCACGTAGATAGAAAATTAATAGATCACGACGTTTCGATCGCAACACAAGCAACCGTCATCGGGTGAAACAAACAAAGCAGGAGAACTACTATCTGTGAACATTTTGTATTGACAAACCTATCAAAACCACCATACCTTTAAATACCTCTGAAAACATTAAAGGCAAGCTTTTTTGTATTATAAGATCTCATTTATAAATCACAATGTGACAAAGCCGCCATTTATAAACATGCGGTTCCATTATTTAACAAAAGTAACATTGCATTTTTTTTTAAACATGTATACCTGATTAAGTGCACTTAGTATCACATGCCTTGTTGAGTTTTTAGCACACTTAGCGGAGAGCTTTGAGCCGTTGCATAACACTCAACCTTCAGTTCCTGCTACTGCAGCGGTTTCAATAGAACAGCAACTTGACATATAAGACCGCTGCAATTGTAAACACAATCATGGTCAGTATGCCCCGCTCTGTTTACAAATACATCCACACAGCACACGACTTGTGTGTTGAGATCCTTGCTGCAGCAACAGCGACACAAACAAGCCCGTTCCACTCGAAACGCCACTGCGACTAATTCAAAGCACATCCTCTCACACGAGTACTCTTTCTAATTGTATTCTTTGCTCTACTTCACAGCCCGCTTTGTCAATCCACCGCCGAGTGACGGCCTGCCATACGACGCGTCAGTCATGCGGGATTGTTTGACCATACTTCAACCATGCTGGCGCAGTACATGTTGGTGAATAAAATTCGGGGTTTGGGGGCGATGGGGGTGGGTGGGAAGTAGAACCAATTTAAATAGCACTTGCCTCAGATGTTAGCTGTTGCAATTGACGCGGAAACCTGGTGCGCAAACGTGGTTACCATCATCATCATCGATCCACGCGGACTTCCGAATGACTTCCACCCAATGATCTCGCGACGCGTCCCTTATTTTCACACGATAATAATAGTCACGTGGAATAAACTTATAGTTGTTACACTCTGTGAATGTCAGGCCGGTGTGTGTGAGTGAGTGCGAGCGATTGCTGCTCATCCGAGTCGGATTTTGTTTTGGTTCACGCTCTTGCCCCAACTCACTCACTCGCAGTGCGCCGAGCGACCGCGCGTTCAGCAAAATGTTCACATCCACGGCGTGACGTCACAACGCAATCACACCACCCCCATCCCGCATCGAGGTGAATATTTATTATTCTTGGTTCATTCGGTAAAGTCACGTAGATAGAAAAAAACAGAAATAAAGTTTTTTCTTTTCTTTAAGTTTTTTTTAAGAGAAGATGTCTCTCCTGGACAGCAATTTTCAGACCTTATGCCCTCGCTCGATAGTTCGTGGAATGCTGTCGGGAATGCCGGCATAAGGTACTGACGACGAGAGTACAACGCACCCCTATCCATCATCCTAATATTTGAATGTACAATCTCTGGCCTATAATGCTAAAGAAAAAATGAAGCGAAATAGGTGCAGCGTACTGAAATAATCCCCTGAATGGCGTTCGTAACGATGATGCCGGAAAATAATCACTGCCAATTGGAGGACAGAATGAGATGGAAAAACTCCGCAAGGCCTGTCAGTCAAAAAAAGCGTGGTGATGTGGATATGTATCATGCTGCCTATTTAACATCCTGCAGAAACGTGTCCATGACGAGTGGGTGGGTTACTGCTTTGTGCTGACTTTCGTTTCTTTGCTCAACTTGCACAAAACAAAATTCATGCACAATGAGTCTTATTCAGAATCAGAATCAGAAACGGTTTTAATCGCCATGTAAGTTTGCACAAACAAGGAATTCACTATGGCGGGACGGTGCATACATTGAACAAGTAGGAATCTTAACTTATATAAAAGTTATACACTCTAACTATACTAACGTTACAAAGTATAAGTAATACCAAAGGGCTAAAATCTTTAAAATTATGAATAAGTAGACCTTATAAAATGCGAATGTAAAATGTTAATTAGCCGTATTAAACAATCTTAAAATACAAAAATACAAATAAGATTACACGTAAGTATGGAAAGGTGTAATTATGTAGATAAAATGTTATAGTAAGTGTAACAGTCATTTTAAGTGTAAAAGTCATTTTAAGCCCTTGGCCTTGTTGAGGAGGCCAACAGCAGATGGGAAAAAACTGTTTTTATGACGTGAGGTTTTGGTCTTGATGGACCGCAGCCTTCTGCCGGAGGGGAGTAGCTGGAACAGAGAGTATCCAGGGTGCGAGGAATCGTCCGCAATCTTCCTCGCTCGCTTCAGGGTCCTCAAAGTGTGCAGGTCCTCAAGGGTTGGTAGATTACAGCCAATCACCTTCTCAGCAGTGCGGATGATACGCTGCAGTCTGCTCTTGTCCTTGGCAGTTGCAGCAGCGTACCAGACGGTGATGGAGGAGGTGAGGATGGACTGAATGATAGCTGTATAGAAGCACACAATCATTGTCTTTGGCAGATTACATTTCTTCAGC